TTGGAGTCTTACTCTGTCACCCAGACTGGAGTGCAGTGGCCGCTCCCAGCCACTGCAGCCTCGACCTGCTGGGCTCCGGCAATCCTTCCGCCTCAGCCTTCCAAGTAGGTGGAACTACAAGCATGCGCTACCACGCCTGGCTAATTTTTTGATTTATTGTAGAGATGAGGTCTCACCAAGTTGCCCAGGCGGGTCTTGAACCCGCGGGCTCAGGCAATCCACTCACCTCAGCCTCCCAAGGTGCAGGATTACAGGCTGAGCCACCGAGCCCGGCTTATTTTTGCCTTAAGCAGTCTTTTTTTTTTTGAGTTGGAGTCTCACTCAGTCACCCAGACTGGAGTGCAGTGGCCGCTCCTGGCCACTGCAGCCTCGACGTGCCGGGCTCTGGTGATCCTTCCGCCTCGGTCTTCCAAGTAGGTGGAATTACAGGCGCGCGCTACCCACGCCCGGCTAATTTTTTGATTTATGGTAGAGATGAGGTCTCACCAAGTTGCCCAGGCGGGTCTCGAACCCGCCGGCTCAGGCAATCCACTCGCTTCAGCCTCCCAAAGTGCTGGGATTACATGCTGAGCCACCGAGCCCAGCCGGCTAATTTAAAAAAAAATTTTTTTTGTAGAGACAGGGTCTCACTATGTTGCCTGGGTTCAAGCAATCCTCCTGCCTTGGCCTCCCAAAGTGCTGGGATTGCCTATGTGAGCTACTGCACATGGCCCACATTTCAGGTGCTGGGTAGCCATATGTTATGGCTCATGGCTGCCACGTTGGGCAGTGCAGGCTAGACTGTAATAAGCTCCAGAGGACGAAGGGTGGTCACTGTCTTATTAGTGTGTCCCTAACACAGCACAGTACATGGTACATAGCCGGCTTCCAGTAATACTTTTGACTTGAATAAATGAGTAGATAAATATGGAACATCATTTTGACTGACTCCCCAATGAGTAATCTATGTGAGTAAGTTGTATTTGTCACAGAAATAGTTGGCAATAACTCATCATGGAACACCTTCTCTACTGTGTAGCCATTTGGGGAAAATCTAGAACTTACTGTATTTTCATATTCACCCAAAAGCAGCTTTAAAAATTGTCTGTTGGCTTCAGTTAATACACCAGATGATAGAGAGTTTTAGAATCCCTGTCTGTCGTCCATAGCAATGCTGTGAGGTTTCTTCTTCAGATTTGTCTTGCTTATTCTTAGAAGCATCTGTGCCTTGAGAAGACTATTGCATAATCCAGCATCAGTTCCCTAAATCATGTATCTCTTAAGCAAAATAATACCAAAGTCCACTGGGAGCCGGACACGTTTAATCATCCCTGTCATTGTTCACTTTGACCTGAAGTTAAAGTCAACACAACTTTCAGTACCTGATGTGGATCGCCCACTGTTTGGGTGATGTGGGCGACACAAGATCATTATTTACATGATCTTTGCCCTGAGAAGCTTATAATCTCTTCGGAGAAGAAAAACAAGCTGGTGAAATGAATAAAGTAAATGCCTGGTGAGCTGACTCTGGCTCTGTGTGGTGCTGGCTGTGCACCCTTGTCTTGGTTTAGACAGGTGAACACAGACATGCTCCTCTGCACCCACACGACTCCCAGCCTCCTGGAGAGACTCCTCTTTGAACCAGTAGACATCTTGATACATCTTGACATCTGTGAGCTACAGTGACAGTAGCCCCATATACAGATGAGGAAGCCGAGACTCCGTGACTTCTCAAGGCAGCAGCCGGAAGAGCCTGGACTCACGCCTGGAGACTAAGGAGCCTGCTCTTTCTTCCAGGCCACGCTTTCTGTGTTTCCAGAGTCCTAGAAAGAGAAGTTGTGTTCTTCACTTAGGGCAAAGCCCACCTCCTGAGTACACAAGCCAGCTGGCTATTGTTTGCCCATTGTGCTATTTGTGGATTGTCGTGGTGGCGGTGTGACTATCTTGTTAATGGCCCACGTATGCCCTCATACTTGAGTAGCCTGGGGCTGAGCCAGAGGGCCTGGGGATTTATTGACAAGAAAGTGCCACGTGGCTGGACTTGGAGACAATTTCACACCAGGGGTGAGGGTAGGTGGGCCGGGGCGGGAGAGCCCTTCCACGCAGACAGACCTGCTCACATGGCAGCAGAGCATGTGGGAGCCTGAAGGCAGGCATGGCCTCCATGCCAGCAGGGACCTGATGCCTGAGGGAGGAGCCAGCCAGGACACCAGTGGGACTCGCAGCGTTCTGTTTGTTCCCTAGTTGCCGCAGCTCTAGTGTCTAGATCTGTGCAGAATCTCCCTTCTGTTCTTGTTAAAACCAAGCCCTAGAAAGTAGGATTTGGACTAAAAAAAGAAACACTGAGGCTTCTCTCAAGTCGGTAACAGATGCTTGTATAACAGCTGATTAGGTGTCTGGCGCCGTCCTAAGCATTGACTCATGTTACCTACCACTAACATATACAAGCAGGTGCAGCTTTAGGGCAGCCGTGGCCACTTCTCATCCCAGCCAGTGTGTCTTGTCACATCCTTGGTTCTGAAACTGTGCAAGCATTTCATAGACTGATCTAAAAATGGTAAGGACAGGTCAGGCATGGTGGCTCACGCCTGTAATTACAGCACTTTGGGAGGCGGAGGCAAGAGGATTGCCTGAGCCCAAGGGTTTGATACCAACCTGGGCAACTTGGCAAGACCTCGTCTTTACAATAAACCAAAAAATTAGCGGGGCGTGATAGCATGCGCCTGTACTTCCCGCTACTTGGAAGGATGAGGCGAAAGGATCGCCTGAGCCCAGCAGGTGGACGATGGGGTGGCCGTGAGCCTGCCACTACGCTGCATCCTGGGTGGCAGAGTGAGACTCTGATTCAAAATAAATAAATAAATAAAATAAAAATGGTAAGGACAGCAGAAATAATAAAAAGGGTTTTTTTGTTTATTGACTCACTTTAAAATAGCCACGAAGTACTTTTTAGGGAACTGGTTGATGTAATTTGGCCTCAGAAAGCCTTACGGTATAAACTATAGCAGGAGCTTTTCTTAGTAAAGGTCTTAAAGGATAAAGGATGTTCTCTGAGATAAATGTCAGGATGCTCTGTGTCACCCGCCATAAGAACTGGAGTGGGATTTAAGTTCTGAGTTTTGCTATACTTCTCCATCTTAAGTGTATAATTATATTTAGTGGAAAAACCATAGGTTTTGTGTGTGTGCACTTTTATTTATACATGACTCACATTTGTGATTATCTTTTATATAGTTTTCTAATATTCACAGTTTAATTTAGTTGACCTTTGTTTTTTTTTCTCCTCTAAGAAAACAAGGAATTTTTTCTTGTTAACTTTTGGATTATTAAACCTCTTCTCCTGAAAATTCCAAGTTGTCAGCCATCTTTCTGAATTTATCATGCTCTTGACAGTTGTCAAAATCTGAAGGTGGTCATGTGAAATAGCCATGGAGACCAGCTCCTTAACCCTGAAGCAGTGAATGAGTATGTGAACAACCCAAGCAGAGAAACGTGCATTGTGTCATAGCCTCTCTGCCCCTCTTAGAGCTTAGTGATATCACCTGATTCTGTCTGTGCTTCCAACCTGGGAGGCCGCCTGCAGATCACTGTCCTCTTCTCTCCTAGGCCACAGGCCTCCACCGGCACGAAGTGGACATCGCTGTGTGGCAGACAACACCAACCTCTATGTGTTTGGCGGCTACAACCCAGACTACGACGAGTCAGGGGGGCCCGACAACGAAGACTACCCCCTCTTCAGGGAGCTCTGGCGGTACCACTTCGCCACGGGTGTGTGGCACCAGATGGGCACTGACGGCTACATGCCCCGGGAGCTGGCATCCATGTCACGTGAGTGCAGGCAGGCCTGACTTCCGACTTTGTGAAACGCCTGTGGGGTCATGTTCCCTAGTAACGTCAAGTAGTGCTGTCAAGGGACTTAGCCCTGGCATGGATGGCCCCCTGCTGTGGTAGATCCTGGTGGTGACTCAGAGTCCCTTGGGTGGGTCTGAATCCAGCTGTCTATCAGTTGGCTTCTGTCAGCCAGGTGAATTTTAGCCCTAATCCCCTCTCCTGTGAAGTGGCATTAATCATATCCTAGAGGTTCGGCGAGAAGTGTCATATATATGCCGGGGACATGCAGCAGGAGGTCAGCGGGTGGGCTTTTGATGCGGGTGGGTGGCAGCTGTGTGTGAAGTGTCTTGTCTCAGACACTGCGGCTTGGCTCCAGACCCCACAGTGAGGTGGCCCAGAAAGTGCTACCCCCCTTTATAGAGTTACATTGATGCCATACTGAATCTACTAAGTGTACGGTAGCATTACGTCTAAAAAAGTACATACCTTCACTGAAAGGACTTTATTGCTAAAAGATGCTAGTGACCATGGACCCTTTGGCAAGTTGTAGCCTTGCTGGTGGAGGGTCTTGCCTGATGCTGGCAGTGCTGCCTGGCCAGGTGCTGTGTGCTAAAGGTTGGGGTGGCTGGGCTGTTTCTTGAGGTAAGACAGTGAAGTTTGCTGCATCGACTGACTTCCTTTCATGTGGCATGAGATGTTGTTGCTAATATTTTGCCCACAATAGGACGTCTTTCAGAACCAGTCCTCTCAAACCCGGCTGCTGCTGAATCAGCAAAGTTGATGTGCCAGTCTAACAATGCTGGTGTTCCCTGTGCTCACAGCATCCCCACCAGGGGAAGGTTCCGTCTCAAGGAGCCACACTCTGTGCTCACCCACAAGCAACAGCTCCTCGGGCACTCATTCTTTCAGGTTGTATCACGAGGTTGCAGCCGTTCCGCACATCTTCAGTCTCCATTTCTTGTTTTGTTTTGTTTAGAGATGAATTCTCATTACATTGCCCAGGCTTGCTTCTAACTCATGGGCTCAAGCAATCCTCCTGCCTCGACCTCCCAAAGTGCTGGGATTATAGGCATGAGCCGCCATGCCAGGCATAGGCGCCATTTCTTGTCTTGTCTTGTTTTGTTTAGAGATGGGTTCTCGCTACATTGCCCGGGCTTGCTTCAAATTTCTAGGCTCAGGTAATCCTCCTGTCTCAGCCTCCCAAGTAACTGGAACTACCCAGCTCAGGCTGTACTTCTAATTCTACTTGTCTTGCTGTTTCCATGACATCTGCAGTTTATTCCTCCACTGGAGTTTTGAACCCCTAAAAGTCATCCATGAGGGTTGGAATCACCTTTCTCCAAACTCCTGTTAATTTTGCTGTTTTGACCTCCCGTGAATCATGAATGTTCTTTATGGCATTAACAATGGTGAATCCTTTCCAGAAGGTTTTCTTTTTTTTTTTTAGATTGGAAAATATAGTTTATTTAGAAAGTAAATTAGAGAGAGAGAGAGGAGATTCACCTCCCCAAGGTAGGGGAGGGGGTCAAAGCTAGGAAACATGGTGGCCATAGCTCAAAGAACACATGATCTAGCCAGTGCTTAGCAAAACAATGGCCTCCAGAAGGTTTTCAATTTATTTTGCCCAGATCCATCAGAGAAATCTATGGTAGCTATAGCCTTACAAAATGTATTTCTTAAACAATAAGACTTGAAAGTTGGAATTACTGTTTCACCCACGAGCTGCAGAATGGATATTGTTATCAGCAGGCACAAAAACAGCATTAATCTCTTTGAACATCTCTGTCAGGGCTCTTGGGTGATTATGCACATTGTCAATGATCAATAATATTTTGAAAGAGATCTTTTTTTCTGAGCAGTGGGTCTCAACAGTGGGCTTGAAATATTCAGTAAACCAGGCTGCAAGCACAAGTGCTGTCATCCAGGCTTTGCTGTTCCAGAGTCAATTGAGCATAATTCTGAAGACCCTAGTATTTTCAGAATGGTAAATGAGCTCTGGCTTCCACTTAAAGTTACCGGCTGCATTAGCCCTCAGCAAGAGTTAGCCTGTCCTTGGAAGCTGGGCCTTGACTTCTCCTCTCCAGCTATGGGAGTCCTAGGTGGTATCTTCTTCCAATAGAAGGCTGTTTTGTCCACATGGAACGTCTGGTGTTGAGTGTGGCCACCTTCACCAATGTCCTCAGCTCCGTCTTCCAGATAAATCACAGCAGCTTCTCCATCAGCACTTGCTGCTTCACCTGCACTTGATGTTCTAGAGACGGCTGCTTTCCTTAAACCTCATGAACCAGCCTGAGCTCACTTCCAGCTTTTCTCCTGCAGCTTCCTCACCTCTCTCAGTCCCTGTGGACTTGAAGAGAGTCAGGACCTTGCTCTGGATCAGGCTTTGGCCTAAGGGAACGTGGTGGCTGGTTTGCTCTTGTATCCAGACCACCCACACTTCCTCCATATCAGCAGTGTGGACACTCGCTTTCTCATCGTTTATGCATCCCCTGGAGTAGCACTTGCAGTTTCCTATGAGAACCTTTCCTTCATGTTCACAACTTGGCTACTGGAGCAAGAGGCCTGGCTTCTGCCCTGTCTTGGCTTTTGACATGCCTTCCTCGCTAAGCTGAATCATTTCTAGCTTTTGACTTACAGGGAGAGATGTGTGACTCTTCCTTTCACTTGAACACATGGAGGCTATTGTAAGGTTATCCGTTGGCTTAATTTCCATTGTGTTGTATCTCAGGGAATAGGGAGGTCCCAGGAGAGGGAGAGAGATGAGGGAATGTCTGGTTGGTGGAGCAGTCAGAATACACAAGACATGGATCGATTAAGTTCACCATCTTATATGGGTGGGGTTCATGGTACCTCAAAACAGTAGTATCATCAAAGACCCCTGCTCACAGATCACCGTAACAGGTATAATAACTGAAAAAGTGTGAAATGTTGTAAGAATTACCAAAGTGCAACACAGAGACACGAAGTGAGCTCTTGATGTTGGGAAAATGGTACTTTGCTCCATGCAGAGTTGGCACAGACCAAGCAAAGTGCACTGCGGCAGGGTCTGCCTGTGCTTGTACACGCTCTCTGCATCCTCACAGCACCCCTAGGATGCGGGCACTGGCATTGTTGCCATTGTGCGCACAAGGAAGCTGAAGCTTCAGAGGCCCATAAATCATGACTGGGCACGCAGGTGCTGGGATTGAAGCCCACCCTGGCTGGCTTTTGCTAGGAGGCCGAAACATGCGATTTAATACTGCTCTCCAGTTCCGTTTCATCATTTGTAAAAATGAGAAGATTATAATAGGTCCTACTTCATGGGGTTGCTGTAAAGATTAATTTAGGGGCCGGGCTTGGTGGCTCAGCCTGCAATCGCAGCACTTTGGGAGGCCGAGGGGGTGGATTGCCTGAGCCCGCGGGTTTGAGACCAACCCGGGCAACTTGGCGAGACCTCGTCTCTACAATTAAAAAAAAAGTTAGCTGGGCATGGTAGTGCATACCTATAGTTCTGGCTACTGGGAAGGCTGAGGCTGAAGAATTGCTGGAGCCCAGCAGGTCAATGCTGGTGTAGCCGTGAGTGCGCCACTGCACTCCAGCCTAGGTGACAGAATGAGACTCTACCTCCAAAAAAAAAAAAAGATAGGGAGGCTAATGAGGTTGCTGAGGTCACACTGGAGTTCAAACCCAGCTCCCTGGCTCCAGGGCCCACGCTGCTGACTACAGCACTGCACCAGTTGAAGAAATTGTTTTGTTCCCTGAAAGCCACGGAGGTAATACAGAAGCTGTATTTTGAGAGAGAGAAAGAGAAAACATGTGTGAGAGAGTGTGTGCTGTGTGTACACGTATGGTGGCAGAAACAGACAGCTGTCGAGGGAGGAGCACAGAATCACCTGCAGGGACCATGCAGCTGAGGACCGAGATGGCAGGAGCTGTCCTTCCGATGCCGAGCTCGCCCCAGCACAACCACAGGGGCCCCTCGGGGTCTTCGCTTTTTTGCTGGTGCAGAGGTGGTAGATGCTTCCCTTTTCTCTGCTTTACTGCTTGCTTGAACCAACTCGAGCAGCAGTGGGCCTCTAGTTCCTGCAGTTCAGTCTTGATATACACAGTATTCAGTGAATTACACCAGTGTGCCCTGAAGATGTGTCATGTACCTAACAGTGAACTCTATGACACAGGTCATGTGGTGTGAATGAGACCTTTTCCCGCAGAATTTTGTGGTTCGGATTGTGTAGCCCTTATCTGAAACGCTTGGGACTAGAATGTTTCACATTTCAGATTTTTTGGGGCTTCAGAATATTTGCACTAAGCATCCCAAATCCGATTGTTTGAAATCCAAAATATTCCCTTGAGCATCTTTTCAGCACTCAGAACTTCTGGGCTTGAAACGTTTGGGGTTTCAGCTTTTCAGATTTGGGGTGGGCCAGCGGTAGCTAGCTGCAGAGGTGTGGGCACCTGCAGCCAGGGTCTGTGTGGAACGTGGTGGCATAGCCGGTGCATGAGGGATCTCTGCTCCTTCCCAGTCGTGCTGCACGGAAACAACCTGCTCGTGTTCGGAGGCACTGGCATCCCGTTCGGTGAGAGCAATGGCAACGATGTACACGTCTGTAACGTGAAGTACAAGAGGTGGGCCCTGCTCAGCTGCCGGGGGAAGAAGCCCAGCCGGATTTATGGACAGGTACTCTCGGGCCGCTGCAGGGCATGCTTGGCATGCTTGTGTCTTTCTCGTCTGGGACATCAGATTGTCTGTGTTGCTACTGTGTCTTTTAAGGGCAGCAAAGCTCCGTGGTTAGTATTTAATTTTCCAGCTCTGATGTGGAATTATAATGTGTACATCTGGTTACTTGCCACTTCCCTTCCTGTTATTTTAATCTTCGTTTCTACTTCAGTCTCGGTCGTGATCTACACCCAGATGGAAGTTTCTTTATATGTCAGAATCCCACCTACACCCCTACCCCTCGTGAGAGAGTGGGCCCCTCTGCGGCCACATCCTGTCATTTTTAGAGCGATTTTTTCAAGAGTCTTCTGACCTAAGTGTCAGAGTAGATGATGCTTGTGCTTGTTTAAGAGACTTTTCCATGGACCTGAGCTAAAGCATCTAGATGGTATAGAGGTTAGTTTGGGGTCCAGTTCTTCAAACTGTAGGTTTGAAAAGTTATATCCAGGAGAATAGGAGCAACCCACCATCATCAGAGAGCCTTTGAGCAGAGTGGGCTAAGCTGGAAACAAGCAGGCTTGGCTTCTTTGCAGACTAGCTGGCATTGGTACTGATGAACAGCTTCTGGGCTCAACCTCAAAGGGGCTCATATTGGAGGACTCTGTCGTGAGCATAATAGTAGCTGAACTGACACTGAAGAAGGGGCCGATGGAAAACGTCAAGTTCCTCGGATGTCCATAGACACATCCTCCTTAAGTGGCTTGTTTTTGTGTCTGCTGCTACTTCTTTAGAGCATTTTTATTTTTTATATTTATTTATTTATGTATTTTTATATATATTTTTTTGAGTTGGAGTCTCATTCTGTCGCCCAGGCTGAAGTGTGGTGGCATGCTCATGGCTACCTCAGCCTCGACCTGCTGGACTCAGGCGATCCTTCCATCTCAGCCTTCCAAGTAGCTGATACTACAGGTGTGCACCACCACGCCCAGCTAAATTTTTGATTTATTGTAGAGATGAGGTCTCACCAAGTTGTCCAGGCTGGTCTCCTACCCATGGGCTCAGGCTGTCCTCTCACCTCAACCTCCCAAAGTGCTGGCATTGTAGGCGTGAGCCACTGTGCCCGACCTTATTTTTTATTTTTATTTTAGAGCATTTTTCTTCTGTCTGCTTATAAAGAGAAGCCATTTGCAATGGGAAGTGCTCATGTCCATGGTCTGTAAAGTCTTTAGCTGGCTAGGACCCTTAGGGTTGATCATCTTGCCTGTCTAGGTGGGACTTGCTTTCTGGATGAGTGAAGCTTTACCTTTATGAAGGTATTTCCTGGTTCTAAAGATAATCACTCTCTGAATTCTCTGAAGTCTTTTGTCTGGTAAGGGTCTGATATTTTAAAAGATTATGAAATCCAGGAGAATTTTATAAAACCAACTTTTGAGGTGTCTGGTGAGTTTGCATTCTTTAATCAGTGTCAGTCTTGCTCACCTCTCCTCGCTCTCCAGGCTATGGCCATCATCAACGGCTCCCTTTATGTCTTCGGAGGGACAACCGGCTATATTTACAGCACAGACTTGCACAAGTTAGATCTCAACACCAGAGAGTGGACACAACTGAAGCCCAACAATCTGTCCTGCGATTTGCCGGAAGAGAGGTGAGGTTCTAGGATAAAACATCTTCATTCTTTCTTGCTAACATTGCTAACATTGACCTCTTTCAGAGCATTTGCAATATGAAGGAAACCCTTTGGTCCTAGTTAAAATCGCCAACTGGCTGTTGGATCCCAGGTCAGTGGTAATTCATTACGAAAGGTCTTCAGGAGAGGAAAGGGCATTTCCCTCTGAACTGCAGAATCTGTTCATGGAATTTCCTCTTACACTTTAGCCTTTCTGCATTAGGAAGATAGTCATACTCTGAAGAAGAAACCAGTGATAGCATTTGTAACTAAATTTTATATTACAGGCAAAACAATTACTTTCCAGTTACTTTTTGAAATTCTTTCTCAACTTGCATATTAAAATTGTTTGGCTTATTTGTTCACAGATATATCCCCAGTCCAGGGCACAGTGCTGTGCCCACAGAGGTGTCCAATGAATGCTGATCAGGTGGACAGATATATGGATTGAGGAAGGAAGGGGAGGGGAGGGGAGGAGAGGGAGAAGATGCTTGGAAAGATGGATTGATGGGTAGATGATGGATAGATGGATGACTTGAAGGATGGATGGCAGGTGGGTGAGTGGATGGATGGATGGTGGATAGATCGATGGTAGATGGATGGTAGATTGATGAATAGATGAGTAGACAGATTGATGAGTGGATGATGGAACGATGAATGGATGGTGGGTGGATGGTTGGTTGGTTGGTGAACGGATGGGTGGCGGAAAAGTCAGTCATCCAAAGTGTGCTCTTAAAGCATTCCGATGCCCTGTGGTTCTCTGGCTGCCCTCAGTAGCAGTCCTACACCCTCCCCTTCTCTTCTAGAGTAGCAGTTGCCGCTTAGAATTCAACTCACTGAAACACTTGAAGAGATTTCTCCCCTCCAGATTAAAAGCAAAGACAGCAAACAATCTTTTATTCACTCTATTTAGGCTAATCCAGTGTCTCTTTGTTGCCTTTCAACATAGTGGCGTGCAGGTACTAAGAGGAAGTCATCTTTAGTGTAGTGTGTTAGTGGGTTGATTATTGCAAAATTACCCGGAGAGGACTGGGAAGCTGGTCTGTTACTGGAGTGATTTTGATGCAATTTATTTTATCAGCACCAGGGCCTCTAGGGAAAGGAGAAAATAGATTTAAGTTTTCAGAGCATTTTCACATGGTTGCTTTCTTTGAATCATTTGTGGACGTATTATAAATTGTTTTCTCTGCTAGCTAGACTGCCTAGATAAAGGTTCTGGTAGGTGTTTCATATTATATTTATAGTTCTGTGTAGCTAAATGCGTATCTTACTTTGAAAACCCATAGTCTAGGGTCTCTAACTAAATGTAGGCAGATCACTTTTAAACACTCTATAATAATTGCCTTCCTTGTACAAAGTTATCACAGAAGATTATTGAAAATGTCTAGACTATAAATGAGCAAAATTAAGAAAATAAAAACAAAATCTAAACTCAGAGGCAACCAGGGTTAACATTTTGGATTATATCCATGTAGTCATTTTCTGTGCATATTTGTACATTTTTAATTAGATGATAGGTTATCTGCTCTTTTGTAACTGATTTTTTTTTAACTAGTGACACGAAAGAAGTTCTCAATATATTAACCATCCTCTCGGCCTACATTCTTAGTACTTGCATAGTAATCTATTCTATGTCGTTCTATAATTCATGCAACCAATTCATATTGTTAAACAGTTGGGTTATCTCTAATAATTTATTGTTATAGATAATTATGCAGTAAAAACCCTGCAGCTAAATCTTGGGTAGATCATTTTCCACTTATTTATAAATGCGTTTTGTTGTATATTTTTAGATACCGACATGAAATCGCACATGATGGGCAGAGGATTTACATCTTGGGAGGTGGAACTTCCTGGACGGCATATTCCTTAAACAAGGTATATTTTTTAGAAAAGAAAAAAGGGAGAGGGAGAAGGATAGAGAGTGGCATGTGTCATACTAAGCAAGATGGTTCTGCTACTTTAGGTCTTTCCATTTTCAAGCAGGTTGCTCATCGCCATCTATTTTGTACCAGATGCTCTCTTGTAAGGGCGAACTCTGTGCCCCTCTGTACCTTCTAATTGACAGCTGCGTGTATCACACACTGAAAGTACCCTATGGAAACTACTCCCGGGTGCTGGATGAGGAAAGTGACTGAAGGGAAGGCGTACAACCTGAGTGGAGCAGCTGATGAGAATTGCACTGGGATTCTCAGAATGTCACCTCCCTGTCATCATCAATACTTGTCTCTAACAGAACAGGCTCGTTGAGGGCTGCATGTCACTAATTGAGAAAGCTGGGCTCTGAAGGGCTGTTACCCATCCTTCCCTGTGGTACTTCTGAAACATCACAATCACATATCCCAAGGAAGTCTAGGTTAGGCTCTTGAGATCCTGGTCTGCCTAATGGCCTTTTTCAAGTCTTGTCAAAACTGCATCCCCACATTCCCTTACCAGTACTTGCTTTCTTCTGCTATAAAAATGTTAAAGGGCCAGGTGTGGTGGCTCATACCTATAATCTCCACGCTTTGGGAGGCTGAGGCAGTAGGATTGCTTGAGTCCAGGATTCGAGACCAGCCTAGGCAACATAGCGAGACCTCTTCTCTATAAAAAAAAAAAAAAAAGAGTTACATGTGTATTGTAGAAAATGTGGAGGATGCAGAACAGCTTACAGAAGAAAGCCAGGAGCCACGTGCAGTGCTGCTTTTCATTCCAAGTGTTTTTCTTCCTTTTTCTCTGTGAACTTTAAAAATGGAAATCATATATGTGCTTAGTTTTTAGCTGCCTCATGTAATATTTTGCTTTGTATTCGTGTTTGGAAAGATCAGAAAAGAACAAAGGAAAACAAGGCAGACTTTTCAGCTGAGAATATATGTGTGCACAGGTTGTTAACAGTTCGGTTTTCAGTATGGAAAATCGCTGTACTTTCTGCTCAGTTTTGCTGTGAATCTAAAACTGCCTAAAAAAATAAAAGCTATGTTTAAAAAAGCCATTTTTCAGGCTAGCTAAACTTACAGTTATTTATCTGTGTGTATGTTCTTTTTTTCTCCAAGATCCATGCATACAACCTTGAAACAAATGCATGGGAGGAAATTGCAACAAAACCCCATGAAAAAATAGGTAAATTCAAAATATTGATTCATTTGTCTTTAACACGTACATATTGCACGTTCACTTTTTTTGAAAGGGGAAAAGTGATTGTATTGAGCTGTATGGCGAGTAAAACACCTGTTGAACTGGTGTTAGCGATCGCTTGTGTTCCTTAACCCTGCTGTAATTCTTCCATGGCCATTATCAGAGACTTTTAGTGGGGATTACTGAACTCTGTGGCAGAAATGGGGAAATGGTGGTGGGATAAGAAATTGGAGCTTAAATCAAGACCTACCTGTCTCTTTGCGGGTAAAAGGACCCCTGACCCTCCCTCCCCCTTCGATTTCCTGGCATCATAGCATTGTTTTGTTGCGATGAGACTTCTAGTTTTGAAATAAGGATTGGAAGGGCCAGTCAGTGTGCTTCATGCAGCAAAGCGACTGTTTGGTGTTACTCATAATGTGACTTTCACTATTAGGTCAGTGTTATTTTCAGTCTTTCTGTGAATAATAGAATTTCTGTGGTCATGTATTTTTGCAGGTTTTCCTGCAGCCCGAAGGTGTCACAGTTGTGTTCAAATAAAAAACGGTAAGGATTGTGACTAATGTTTGCTTCTATAATTATCTCTGCTAAAAAGATTGTATTTCCAGGGCTATGCCTGTCATCACAGCACTTTGGGAGACCAAGGTGAGAGGATGCCTGCGTCTAGGGGTTTGAGACCAGCCTGGGCAACTTGGTGAGACTTTTTCTCTACACTAAACCAAAAAATTAGCTGGGCGTGGTGGCGTATACCTGTAGTTCCAGCTACTCAGGAGGCTGAGGCGGAAGGATCACCTGAGCCCAGCAGGTCGAGGCTATGGTGGCCATGAGCGTGCCACTGCACTCTAGCCTGAGCAACAGAGTGAGACTCTGACTCAAAAAAAAAAAAAAAAATCTTATTTCCTAACGATAGCACCTCAGAAGAGGTGTACACCTTTGGGGAAAGTCTGTTTCTTGTACTTTGAACTCAAGGGGAAATCTACACCTTAGCAATTTATAGTGTAAGCTAGTATGGTGTTGGGGTTCCCTCAGATATAAGAGAACTCTATAAATTGGCAGTAAAGAAGCTGTGATTGCACGCCCAGCCTCTCAGGACTCCACCCCTCAGCAGATGTCTGTGGTCATGGTGGGTAACCCTGATGATCATGGCTGCTGGTGCAGTGGGGACCCCCATTGACGTCGTAGTGAAACTGTCACAACTCCTCCCGCATGCTGCTTTACAAAGCCACTTCTGTTCTGATGCCAAGCAGAACTCTTAGGCCATTCTGTGGCTGTGTGATAACAAAGGCATCGTGTGGCTTCAGAAAGCAGTGGCAGCTAATTGATCTGAGTGGATGACTCCTCTCTGGGTACCCTTTCTGTCTTTTAATTTACAGTTCATTTGACAGTTTGATATGGCGCCCTAACTTGTTCCTGGGAGGAAAGTGTGTGTAGATTAATTAGATGACCTCTCCCTCTCAGCAGCTTAGCCCAGATTTCACTGAGGTGACTGCTGTCTCTAGTGAGAGGGACTTTTTGTTATGCTTCTGCTTTGTGGATAAGATTTATAGATGGTGGCATTGTTCAGCTTTGCCTCTCTGAGAATGGAGCTGTACTTTAAAGTTTTCCTTGAATCCTAGCCAAAGAAGTTTCCAGTGCATGTTATTTATTTATTTATTATTTTTGAGTTGGAGTCTTACTCTCGCCCAGGCTGAAGTACAGTGGCACACTCATGGCCACCCCAGCGTTGACCTGCTGGGCTCCAGTGATCCTTCTGCCTCAGCCTTCCAAGTAGCCAGAACTACAGGCATGTGCTACCATGCCCGACTAATTTTTTTTTAATTTATTGTCAAGATGAAGTCTCACCAAGTTGTCTGGGCTGGTTTCAAACCCGCAGGCTCAGGCTGTCCACTCACCTTGGCCTCCCAAAGTGCTGGGATTACAGGCTGAGTCACCGAGACCAGCCTCCAGTGCATTTTATAGTTTAATTAAGTATTGGCTTAAACTTGATCTAGACCTGAGCTAAGACATTTATTCATTTAGTTGTTTGAGGCCAAGCAGTGTTCATATGGCATTCAGCCTTAGTTCTGCGCATTTAGTTTGAAGGTTCACGTAGCCTTTGTTATTAGCTGATTAATTACAACAAGCTGATTTTACCAAAAATAAGAGCCTTTCATTTTGGAATAATTTTGTTCCTGATAAAGAACTGTACAGATCAAATGGATTTCAGTTTGTCCTCTCTGGGCTGAAGAAAGCTTGGAAAAACCTCTTTTGTGCCCCCAAACTGAACACTGCAGTGAATGTTTCTCCTCAGATTAAACGTCTAGACAGAGGACATTTCTCTGTCTGGGTAGATAAATGCATATTATTTCTAGGACACTACTATAAAGAAGACTTGGAGACGTGTTTTGTTTGGCTCATATGTGTGTTAAAATGTTTTAAACTAGGAGCCAACACTTAAAAATCAAACTTGCATTTTGTTAAAAATTCTAGATTTCCAGCATCTGTTGGAAGCAGGGAGGACTTGGTGATGCCAGCCTGTGTCCCCTGTGGGGTCTGACACCTGCTATTGCACAGCTGTCCCCTCTTCTAGAGCACAGGCACTCCTGTCTGTTTTCCCTGGACCTGTGTCTGTTTCTTCTCCCGGGACCCCCTTGCCTGGTCACTTTTTGTGCCTGGAACCTGTAGATATTTGATTCTGGGAGCCCTGACATGAAGCTTCCTCAGAGGTGGCATCCTTAGTCCAGTCCTTAGAAGAGAACCTGACATGGTGTCCCAGTTCTGTTGAGGAACGAGACAGCAGCAGAGAGACCACCCGGCTGAAGTCCCTGTGTCACGGGCAAGCCACTTCCTGGTTCCCCATCAGTGGCTGGGGGATGAGCTCTAGAACACGGCACAGCTCCAACTCTTTCCCTCTGTGTGACCTGGGCTCTCTCTCCTCGACAGATGTGTTCATCTGCGGGGGCTACAATGGGGAGGTGATCCTGGGAGACATCTGGAAGCTGAATCTGCAGACATTTCAGTGGGTGAAGCTCCCGGCCACCATGCCAGAGCCCGTTTATTTTCACTGTGCAGCTGTTACACCAGTAAGTTCTTACTTTCATACCCTCCTTACACAGTGCAGGTGATAAGGAGACCTTTTTAGAGACATTAGCAAGGAAAAAGATCCTGATTTTGCCGAACCTGTGAATAAGAATGTGTTCTGGGGCTGAACGTGGTGGCTCACGCCTGTCATCCCAGCACTTTGGGAGGCTGAGGCAGGAGGATTGCTTAAGCCCAGGAGTTCAAGACTAGCCTGGGCAACATAGCAAGACCTCGTCTCAACAAAAATAAAAAATAAGCCAGGCATGGTGGCATGCATCTGTAGTCCTAGCTACCCAGGAGGCTGAGGCCGAAGGATCATCCGAGCCCAGGAGGTCCAGGCTGTGGTGAGCTATGATGGTGCCACTGCACTGCAGCCTGGAGAACAGAGTGAGACCCCGACTTTTTAAAAAATGTGTTTTTAAAACTTTCTTTAAAGCTAGTAGCCCTGAGGAAAAACCCACCATACCCAATGTAAAAGAGCACCATCATGTACAAGAATGCCCCTCGTGGCCTCAGGCCCCGACACTGTATCCAGGTGTCTCCTGAGAAGGCAGAATAGTCTGACTCACTTGATGCCGTGTGGGCGAGATCCCATTTGCTTCTTGAGGCACAGTCCTTCACCTCGTGTTTGTAGTCCAAGTATTTGGCACTTCGATACTTCATCCAGTCTTAGTTTGGAGGTGTTAGCAGAAAGGGAAGTTGCTCTTGAAGTTTTAAAAAAGCTGCAATTTTCCCCCCTTGTCCACTCTTGTCTTACTTAAACCCTCTGGATCTCTGCACCGTGTTGGGATCAGGGAGATGGGTATTTTTGTTTCATCTTGATTCGGCCCATGGTGCTTTTTTCCCCCTGAATCTCCAGCCTCGGTCACCGTTTTCCCCCGTTTGAACTTGTCCTCTGCTGACTGCCGTTTGTTTGTAGGCTGGCTGCATGTACATTCACGGCGGCGTGGTGAACATCCATGAAAACAAACGGACTGGGTCGTTGTTCAAGATCTGGCTGGTGGTGCCCAGCCTGCTGGAACTGGCCTGGGAGAAGCTGCTCGCGGCCTTCCCTGACCTGGCCAACCTCTCCCGAAAAGAGCTTCTGCATCTGGGACTCACACAGGGACTCATCGAGCGCTTGAAATGAGGACTTCGGGACTGTTCATGGATCCTGGAAATGTTAATTTAAAGAGACCCCTTTATTTATGGGCAGTGTAGAATGTGCTACAGAGGAGTGGTTACCCTGATCAAGGCCTTACTCAGAAATTACATCAGATGCCTTTCTGTACATTGGTTTTTAAGTTCACGGACATCTCACTCCCCATGTGCTTCCACCCTGGCTTGCCCCTCCTGCCCTGTGACACGCACACGTGCTCGCACACCCCCTCTTCCTCGCTGGAGCTGAGGGAGGGGCTGAAGGCACCTTAATAACGTCCTGAATCAAGATAAAGACACTTTTTAAAGGAATCCTGAATATACGATCATGTCAGCCAATGTTCTACAAATACTGCATCATCACCAAAAAACGTAAAGCTAAAAAAATTTAATCCAGCAACAAGCAGCAACTTGGGGGATAGAGTGAGAAGGCTAGCCTTGAGAATCCTGGGGTTACACTTAGTGTTGCCAAGATGCATCCGACCCTTAGCTGGACCTGATGGCAGCACGCTGCCCTCTTGCTGTAGGTCGCAAGCCCCTCCTTGGCTTTGAAGGAAAGCTAACCAGCTCGGCGGCTTTCGGGCACTGGTTGCTTTCTCATCCTTACGGTGCCAATGGTTAGAGTTGGCTTGTCACAAAATGTGCGTGTGTGTCGTGGTTGTGCTCTTTGATGTTGCTCTTAGAAACTGTGGCACCAGCAGTGTTTCAGCTCGAGAAACTGATGGTGTTCAGAGTTCTTCATTCTGGCAGTTCTGAAATTCTCCTGTGCTTGTTGAGGGTTTCAAGTAGCCCTTTCACTTCTTCCTGGGGAACTGCGGACCCCGTCTTCAGTGTCAGTGCTGTGGGATGCAGACACATGACCCTGACAGAGGCCAGAGCAGGGCTGGCAGAGGGAGCCGCGCCCGGCCGGGCTGCCTCGGCTCTGCACGGGCAGGGACCTCTGCCATGCCGGCCCCTTCCTGTCTGGATTGTGCTTCCTTTCTGCCTCTGGACCGTGCACCTGCAGTTTTCCCAGGCAGCTGGTCCTTGGTTTCCCTCAGCTCGTTGCCTTCTCCCCCGTCTGCTTTAACGTGCGTGGTGCCCAGTGACTGTCTAGTCACCCTTCCACGAATCAAGTGTCATGTAAGAACCAGCCTGAGGAAGGAACGAAGTGGAGTGGCATTTACTTTTGAGCATGAGCTTTTAGTTCTGGGTTGGTTTATTTTTTTAGTTATGGAAAGAGCAAAGGTCTAAATTTTCCCTTGCTTTGCCATCAGGTGGGCAAGCCGTCACTGTGAGCACTCAGAAGGCACACAGGCGGGTGCGGGGACAGGTGGCACTGACCCCGTGGGCATCCAGAAGGTCACAGGCGAGCCCCAGTGCTGTAGGCACACGGGAGGACACAGTGCTGACCCTCACCGGGGCCCCTTGCTGCAGGACACTCATATGGAGATGTGGGACGCATTTCTCCTTTTGGTGCTTCATTCCACCCAGTTCTTAAAATGTTCTTTCTCCTCCTTCCCGGAAGAGATCTGCTGAGCTGCTGTGTGGATTTAAAGGTTGCCTTTCAGCTGGGCGCAGTGGCTTAAGCCTGTAATCCCAACACTTTGGGAGGCCGAGGTGAGAAGATTGCTTGAGCTCGGGTTCGAGACCAGCCTGGGCAAGTTGGTGAGACCTTGTCTCTACAATAAATCAAAAAATCAGCCGGGCATGGTAGTGTGCGCCTGTTAGTTCCAACTACTTGGAAGGCTGAGGCTGAAGGATCACCTGAGCCCAGCAGATCGAGGCTGTGGTGCCTGTGAGCATGCCGCTGTACCAGCCTGGGCAACAGAGTGAGACTCTGACACAAATAAATAAATAAAGTTGCCTTTCAGTTATGCCTGAAAGTGACCCTCTGAGGTTCAGTTCTCGGGAGGAGAAAATCGTGGACCATACCAGGACCCTGAGCCCATGGAGCCAGGGGAGCTGTATCTTGGGAGGCCGTGAAGAGCGCCCATCTGCAGGTGCACGTCCTCCTGGAGAGGGAGGCAGGGGAGCAGTTCCTCAGGCCGCCAGTTGCATCTCGCCGTCGCCATCTGCAGGACTCAGCCCTCTGCCACTGCCTCCGGGCTTGCCCCTCTGGGAACATGCCCCAGAGCAGGTCGGGCCAAGCAGCTGCACGGTCCCCGGCAGAGTGCAGCCTGGTTGCTGGATACGTGATGGTCAGGCAAGTCGGCTGTCCAGGGCGGAGAGAGGATGTTTGCTGTGAACTTGTGAAGGGACCGAGGACTGAGGCTCAGCCTCTGTGCCGAGACATCCAGGGTCCTCGGGATGTCAGTGGGTCTTTAGCTGGTCCCGTCCACACCTGCTGCACCCTTTTGAAGCCCTTGAGGACCGTCTTCCTGGAGGTGGGATTTGGGGCCTGCCCCTGAAGGCCGGGTGTGACGTTCCCGTAAAAGTACACACACGCCTTTGGCCAAAAGTGTTTTAGGATAACACTGGTGGAAACGACGGGGTTCGCCCAGCGCTGTGTGCTGTAGCGCCTCACATGTGCCAAATGAGAAAGCGAGTGAGCCTTAAAAGCAGACAGCTGGCGTTTTACATGGGCTCACCAGGCGGCCAGTGTGCCAGTGACCAGCACCCCAGCATTCCTGGCGCTGCTGATGTAGGAATCTCCAGGCTTGCCGCTGCCTCACCTCTCAGAGGTGCCCCACCCACCTTCAGCCCTGAAGTTCAAGTGCAATATGTAGACACATGGATGTGCACAGACTGTGCATAGACATGGCCCTCGAGCAGGTAGGCTCCCTTCCTGTATCTGTCTTGGAAGCCAGCTCAACACCTGAGAGTCAAATGATGCCAAGAGTTTTAGATGTGACCGGCTGGCTCGGGCCAGCTTGCAGGACGGCTGGATTTCCAAGTCCACATTCTCTTACTCCAACTCATGGAGATGTGTTGCTCTGTGGGTTTGTTCGAGCTGACATCTGTGTCCCAGTCGTCATTGCACCATCTCATGCTTGCGTGTCTTCTTACGCTTCTTCGTCCAGCAACAAGGAAGTTCACCTGTAAGGAGTTTCCCAGACAGAGAAGTAAAGCCTAGTATTTAATATGATCAGTTCTGCATACATACTAATTTATCTGGGAAGTTAATACTTTATTAAATGAAGAAAATGAGGCTTGCTTCATTCAATAAAGCGCTTTCCACTTCCTGGAAAAACTATAAGCCTATATAGACTAGATTGAAATTTTAACTCTTCTTCAAGGGCCAAACGAAACCCATGTGTCTGGCAAGGTCTCTGACTTTCCCTGTAGCCCTGCCTTGTGCAGAGTCTGTGCAGGAGACACAGGCGTCCCTGCGAGGTCCTGTCAGTGCCGTCTGCCACAGCCCCGCACAGTCCCTGGGAGTCCTGCAACCTGGGAACGCCAGCCAGTCCTGTGTCTCAGGGCACCCATGACCTGGTGTAGACATCTGCTCTGAGCCATTCACGCCCTTCCATAGCGAGACTTAAAAGTGCAGCCACAAACACGTGAATGAAAGGAGTGTTCGCAGTGACCTTCGGTTGTCCAGCGTGACAAGGTCCCTGAACCCACTGTGCACCTGCAGTGACCTCGCTTGCCTCGCTCTCCCCAGCCTGCGTCTCTGAGCACCTCTGCGGTGGAATGGGGCTGAGTCTTAGGAAACTAAGAGTAGGGAGGCTAGAATCGGGAGCTCGCGCCTGTGCGTGGTCGGGCTGAACGGTCCACGGGTGAAGCCGGGAGCACCCCGGGCGGGAGTCCCGCGACCAGACGTGGCTCCTCAGCCTTCTGGCCCGAGCCCCTGGCTGGCCTGCGGAAGGGCAAGCTCAGTGTGCACAGGGATCCCAGGGCGTGAACACGGCCCTCAGCTCTCGACAAGCCCTTCCTCCCTGAAACCCTCCGGGGGCCTGGGAGCCCCTTGGCATGTGCCCTCTTCATTCACACAGCTTGACGCGCAGGAAGGCCGAGTCATCCTCCAGGCAGTGCTGGCCTCACTACCTGGAAGCCAGCTGGGTTTTGCGTGGCCCTCGAGATTCCCAGGGTGGCAGAGGCCGCAGACGTGGCCACCTGCCAGCATTTGAGGCAGCATGTGTCCCTGTATTTTGTTTGGTTTTTGCTAAAAGGGCCCTGGCTTGAGCTCTGGGGTGTGAAGGCTCGTGGTCCAGTGCTCCTAGGCTCCCCTCCAAACACTGTTCACTGCTGGCTTAAATGGCTCTGGCTCCCTGGTCCGTGGGAGCACGGCGGGACTGTGGTGGGCTCCGTGCGTCCCCCCAGGTCGTGCCCACAGCGGCCTTTGCCTTTCAAGGTTGTCAGAGTGGCCACAGCGGCCTCTTCCCATGTCTGGCGTCACAAGCAGAAGTTCAGAAGTGGTGCCCTCTTCTTAGTGTAATGGTCATGCTTTTAATTTTTTTTTAACTTTTTGTAAGTTTTTTAAAGGCCCTGCTTAGTCAGAGTGTGAGTCAGAGGCGGTTTTCACAGAAAAACTGGTGTCTCCCAGCGCTGTAGCTGTGTGGCTAGTTACACCTTAGAGCGAAGGGAGGCCTCGGAGCACCGGCTTCTCTGGAGGGAGCACCTACCAGTGAAGAAGGTGGGGAGGACCGGCGGGGTTCCTCTCCCGGCGCTCTTGGCTGGCTCTGCCCTCCCTGCGCAGCACTCACCTTCCCCTACAGCCAAGTGCCACGGTCTGAGTGTCGTGGAAGCCCTCGCAGTCGCTGTGCATGCGTGTGATTGGGTCAGTGGTCCACCTCGCCTGCTCCTGCAAGCCTGGGGGAGGCTCTTGTGACGTTACCCTGAAGTGTCCAATCTATGTTTATGTACCTTGTCAGTGTTTTGCTGTTGGTTTTCTAAAAGCAATCTGGTCAATAAATCTTACCCAAATTTATTTGGTCCAAGGCCACCACACTGTCTGAAGGTAATTTGTATGCGTGGGGGGCTCATCTAGTGACAGGAAGTGGCGGCTACCCTGCCCACCTCCCCACCCCTTTCTCTCTCACACACACACACACCCGGCTCAGGTTTCCTCTATAATATGAGGCATCTACTTTCCAATCCCCCCCCCACTGTGGAATTTTGTTTTGTTTTTTTTTTCTATTTTTTTATTTTTTGTAGAGATGAGGTCTCTCTGTTGCCCAGGCTAAAATTGAACTCCTGGCCTCCTAGCGTGCTGGGGTGACAGGCATGGGCCCTGCGCAGCCAGTGTGTCTTTTATTTTTGCTTTTGAATAGGAGTCTTATTCTGTTGCCGAGGCTGCAGTGCAGTGGCATGCTCTCAGTCACCACAGCCTTGACCTGCTGAGCTCAGGCTATCTTCTACGTCAGCCTTCCAAGTTGCAATAACCACAGGCATGCACTACCATGCCCTACTGACTTTTTGATTTATTGTAGAGACAAGGCCTTGCCA